ACCCTCCATGCGCCGGCCCACTGCGCGGCCCACTGTGCCTGTGTTTGCAGGCCTCAGCACCATTTTGATGATGACTAACAGTGGATAGGTGATAAACCTCCCTGGGTTTTCAAAGAACATCCTTGGGTTCTGACGCTCCTCGGCTTCAGCGGCTTGCATCTCCTCATATGGCTGCTTTGCTCATAAGCAGCAACAATGCATCATTGACATCTTAATGACATCCAATGACATTGATCTGCGGCGCAGTGACCGCTATGGCAGCTGGCCTAGACCTATTCCCACCTATATTTGGGTTTGCTCTATCGCTCTCTTTCCACGCCCTCAGTTTGCAGAAACCAGTCATAATTTTAAAATAGTTTGTCTATCTTTCTTGCATACCTACCCTTCATGTACAGAAAATTGAACATGCTGACCAACACACACGCAACAAAAAACATCAAACAATTGCTCTTAGATGTTTGACATATCGTTGTCCACAAACATCCATCGCCAAACCCGGTGGAAGAGCAAACCACTTGGGCACCAGGCCTTCTCCCAAATCTTTTGCTGCAGTCCCTCCTGAGCCTAGCCAGGCCATGTACCCCGGTTTGGCCGTCACGGGGCTTCGCACTCGATGTGTCCCGTTCCACGCTTTGGCGGCCCCAATCGGAGCCGCTCTTTTCAGGGGGTGGCGCAGTCTTGAAGTCTACATAGATCAACATTCCAAGGGCAAAAAAAAACATATCCTGCCGTCTCAAAGGGTTCCCCAAAGCTGCGGTGGACGCTCGGCGCTGGTCCAACACACACACACACACTCTGACACTGGTTTTCAGTTAACTCAATTACTCCGATGGGAAGGAAGGCGAGGGAACGGCAAGGTGGCAAGGTCCGCTGAAAAGTATTGTTCAACATTGTTCACAAGTGCACTCACACGTTCAAATGCGGCTGCAAAACGATCAAACGCGGCTGCACGTCTGCGGTAGGAAAAGGTTTGGGGGTGGAAACGTGAAGAACCATGAATCAAAAACGTGGAGAGTGGAGTCACAGCTTGATAGAATGGCAGGTACGCAGGGCGGATCAGGCCCTGCTTCCCACTCTCGCCCACAGCTTCGTTGCGTGTGGTAGGGCGAGAGTGCCACACGCCCCTGCCTGTGAGAAGTGGTGGTGGAAAACCCTTTGTCACACAGGTCGCCGCATCCGGCGCTTTTTTCAAAAACCGGTGGCAGGCGTGGTGGTTGTGTCCTTTTTGGACATAGAGCCTCACGAGCTCAGCCGCAGCAGCTTCAGCGCTGGAGGGTGGAAATGTGTATTTGCGAATGGTCATGCATCTCGAATTAGATTGGAGAACTCTAATGCCCAAACTTGAGTTCTGCTGATGAAAAGGTCACGGCATTAATATGGCAAAACGTGGAGAAACAAGCATGACGTGGAGAGATAAACGTGATGGATCCGAAATCTGAAACCTGATATCTGATGTATTCGACAGGAACCGTTTTTTGGCCCGGCGGCCAGTGTGTCGGTTGATTCGGTGAGGGTGTCGGTGACTTCCTGTGAAAGTCCGATGAGTGGTGGTGCTTTGTGGTTGTTGCTTTCCCATGTAAGAGCGGCGCCCCAGTGACGGGGATCACACTCAGCACCCGAGTGGGACGGCTGAGCGAAACACACTCTGACACTGGTTTTCAGTTAACTCAATTACTCCGATGGGAAGGAAGGCGAGGGAACGGCAAGGTGGCAAGGTCCGCTGAAAAGTATTGTTCAACATTGTTCACAAGTGCACTCACACGTTCAAATGCGGCTGCAAAACGATCAAACGCGGCTGCACGTCTGCGGTAGGAAAAGGTTTGGGGGTGGAAACGTGAAGAACCATGAATCAAAAACGTGGAGAGTGGAGTCACAGCTTGATAGAATGGCAGGTACGCAGGGCGGATCAGGCCCTGCTTCCCACTCTCGCCCACAGCTTCGTTGCGTGTGGTAGGGCGAGAGTGCCACACGCCCCTGCCTGTGAGAAGTGGTGGTGGAAAACCCTTTGTCCAGGGGTGGACACACACACACACACACGCGGCGTCACATCTGTCCGAATGGTCGCGTCCCGTTGGTTCAAATGGTGTAGCGGGAGGCTACACAAGGCCGGTCTAGACTGAAAGCTAAGCTAGTCAAACAAACAGTTCCAAAATAAAATACAGCACTAACTCTAACCTTGCGCAATACAACACACACGTGGCTCATGCCAGGGTGTTGGGAGGGCACCCGTTCCGTGCAACTGTGTTCTGTTCTCTGCTGCGGGTGTTCTTGATATCTAACTTAGGGAGAGGTCCCCTTCTGGTTGAGCTTGCCAGGCTGTTTCTCTTGTCAGGGCGCAAAAAGTTATGTTATGTCTTCGCACTGCAGGTGCCAAGTCGGAGCCTTCTTTGGCCTTGACATATCTTGTTGCCATGTCAATCATCCCATCCCGAGCCCCAACAACTCTAGGATCCACAGCGTGCTACACTGGAAAAAGTCTACAGTCAGGGCAGGGAGTTCCCCACACCGTGATCTAATCCTCTCCACCTAGTAGAAAACACGGGCCCCCCCACCCTCACCCCCTATTAAGAGAAAATGTCGCATTTTTTGAAGAGGGGGTCCCTGAAATCGGGGGGTCCAAAGTAGGGTCACCTGGGAAGAGCTTCAAAGCCAAAAAGTGCTGTAAAAATTAACATAAAATCCTTTATTAAACTCGTATCCTTTTCCCCTACAAAAACCTTTATAGAATACTGATTCCTGTGCCATGCGGTTTGGCGCGCGACCTCGGTGGCAAGTGCGTTTGCGTGAGTCCGTGCCATTGGGTGAAGGAAAACCTGCTGGTGTAAACGCGGCCCGTGTCATGGTGGATACACAGGGCGGACAGGGGTGGGCGGTTACGGTTGTTTTTGAAACCTAATATTTAAAAAAGACACACTATATACCCCCAAAATCGACCATGTTGGTAGTTTAGTAGCGGTTTGAAAGTTGAAAGAATATAAACCAAATTTAGGGTTTCGGACGTGGTGTTTTATTGGGGAGGAATAGGTATATACTGTATACTCGGGATTGCTCCCCCTAGAACCCCAAAACATCCCAAAACCACTGGGTTGTAGAGGAAATTGTCGAAACATGTCGAAACCACGGGTCAATTCTCAGGATCCATGTGATCGTCTGGGGAGTACATGACATGCCACCACTGAGTTCCCTTCCAACTCCGAATCATCGAGTGTCGGCCTCGGACAGTTGCCGCACGTAGCCTGGCTTGTTCTAGCGGACGCGTCGCTGAGTACAGTAGTGGGTGTGCTACTAAGCGGTCCAGGTTTGGTTGGGTGTGGATGAGTTTGGGTGCCGAGCCCCGAAACTTCAGAATGCTGCATGGACTTGATGCACCGAAGGCTTGCTGGGCCAGCCGTTGTTCATGCGGCGCCAGCCCCACTGGGTGTCCCAACTCATGCGGTTGGACCGAAACGGTTGTCCACCTACAGGTCTGCATCGCCCAATGGTCAAAGATTGGTCATTGGTCAGCCAGCATTCCATTTCCATGCCTAAAATGGTTCATGCCCTGTGGGAGATTTGCGGTTGGAGCGTCGATGGGTCAACAAGATTTTTTAGGGTTATTAGCACAAGGAACCTCAATAGCAATGGTCTCCAACTTAATAGCGATAGCCTCCAACCTAAGGGCAAAAGGATTGCCCTGTACAAACAAATGCATACAACTGCCCAATAGCAGTTCTCTCCAGAACGATCCGCATGCTTCATCCGCTCAGGGTCACCTCGAAACCACGATCGTCGGTCAACGTCCCGGCCACACCGATCACATCCGGGTCACCACGGTTCGATGGCACGGGCTTGTGCCAATGGGGGTTGCAAACATGTCGAAACACATGACGTGAATCGATGGTTTTTGGATGTTATATGTATATATCCCTATAGGGATCCAAGTACCTTCTCAGAAGGTGATTGGAGACTATTGATGTAGGCACCAGGAGGGCCCAAGTACCTCCTGAGAAGGTATATCGATCCCTAGGGCATATATTATACTATGTATAGTAGTATAAATAGATAGGTCAACCACCAAACTTGGACATTCCAGGACCTCCAAAGTGACCGAACTTGAGAACCCAGTGGCTGAGGTCACGAATCGTCCCGAAACAAAGAGGCCACAAAAACAAAAAACAACTATTGGAGAGGTCACACAGTGACAAACTGAAGGTCCTGGACAGTTTTAAGCGAACAGCTCTGAAAGCACGCTTTAAACTGTCCATTCGGACTCCGTTTGGTTCGTGCGCCTTTCACCTCCGCTTGGTTCTCGTTGGCCCGGAGCTCGAGGAGATCGACGCCTCGGTGTGGAGATCAACGCGAGATCGAAGGAGGGCCGTTTTCAAACCCGAAGACCACATTTCGGGACTCAGGACAACATATATACTTATCACTTATATATATATATATACTATATATATCTATATATCGCTATCAACCAAAAAAACAGCAAAAACACATAAATACAGTAACATACAAAATATGTGTATATATATAATTGCATACATACTGAACCAAACGTTTTTGGGGGACAACAATGTGGCTATGAATGACCGTCTTCTTTTCAAACCACTGCATACAGTTACATATAGATCAGAATATCTATGATGACCAATGTGTTTGTGTGTTCTTTTCTCTTAACGAGGAGTTTGGGACATGTGGCGGTCTCCTGATGTCTGTGTGAGCACAAACACTGGACGCGGCAACCGCCAATTGCAACTACAACAAGGATCTTGTGGTGGTCCTCTTCTTTGATTAGGTCGATCATGTCATTAAACTTAGGAATTCAAACTAAAGTCTGTCAACTGTGATTAGACTCAATAGTGATATCATCTCATAGTGTATATTTTATACAGTCTTGCTTCTCCCATCTTCTCTCCTTCCAAGCAGGTGTGCTGCCTTATAGGTGTCATATATTTACGGTGTATATATACTTATAAAGAACACTCAGCATAAATATAAATATATATATATACACCTATATTACTTGTATATATGTATTAAATTAGATTTAAAATAACACTCAGCAAACTGAGCCCATGCTGTGCCACATTGTTTTCGCCGCGAGTTCGGAAGATCTTCTGCCAGGAGCCTGGCCAATTGGCCGCACGGTCCACACTCCAACAAGAGTCGCGACTTTTGGAAGATCTTGGAAGCACAACTGAGGTGGTACGACTGTCCAAACCTGGCACTGGGGGGATGATCTTTTTAGGTCAGCTCTAGAGCCGCCCAATGGGCACCGCGGCACCAACAGAAACATACCCTGTGTCAGTTGATCACCTGGCGCAATTCGGAGTGCGTGCAGGTGAGTTGTTTGTGCGCAGGGCCTCTGGACAAATCACGGGCGCAATGCCGCATCTCACCCCACAAGCGAGCATTGCGCCAGGGGGTGAGGTAAGGCCTCAGCGCCGCGCCAAGCATCGCCACCGGGTTTGTCTGGGGCATGTGGGTGCAGCCAGGCCGTTCTTCTCTCTCGAAAGTGCGTCATCGCCATGGCTTCTTCAAACAGAAAATCTAAAGAAACCGATCTCTCTCTCTCTCTCTATGTCTATATATATATATATATGTATATATGTGTGTACAAATTCATCTTGGAAAAACATGCCCACTTTAAGTTCATGGCACTTTGCCAATGAATAGTTGCATCTTCCCAAAGAAGCGCATCTACTGTACTAGAAAATGCTACCCGTCTCTATGTGTGTTTGTGACTACCTTTTTCGCTTCAGCACGTTTCTTGCCGTGAACGATTGGGAGCTGCACATTATACATCTCCTGCGCCAAAGTCTTATGCAAATCCATACAAGTACCCTTCTCATATCAGTCTTCTTTTTGGGAAGATGTTTAAGACATGCTAAGACACTGATCCGCAAGAGAACGATCATTTTCTGATAAGCTGTTCATTCGCAAAAGTATCTTCCAAGAATCACATGATAATTATGTAAGTTTGATCAAATTGATCTAATAACGGTCGTTGCATGTTGCTCCATCCATTCAGACGCAACAAGGGGCTTCCACTCGTTTCTTCTAAGGGTTTGTTTCCACACGACGTCGCACTTCCGCGGGTCGGGAGTCCACGCCCCGCGAGGTCGACGCCACGTTCCAAGGGATCGGAGACCTCGAAGGCAACGGTGGAAGACTCCTAGAAGGGTCAGGGTTTCGACCTCATTTTACTGAAGTTGATTCAGTTGATCATACGGTAAAGGACCAGGTTTGGATGAGATTGGAAAAAGACCAAGACTGAGAGGGACGACCGCATGGACCAAGCAGGATGATGCTGCCCTTTTTGGGGCTGGGTTGGTCGTCAAGCTATGGGGTCGTGAACAAAACTGAGTTGATTTTTCAACCCAAAAATCTTCACGGTTACCAATACCTTCAGTATTTCTTCAAATCGGGATCCCGATTGTGGGTTGAATCCGAGGAGTTCGTCGGCTGTCCTGAACCTGTTCAAGACCAAAAGAGCCTAGATAATCTCTCAATTTTGAGGACCGAAATGATGCACTTTTGAATTGTGGTTCGTACACTTTCGCGCATGGGAGCGCCACAGCATGGAAAAAAAAATTATCTAATATATAGCACGAATAAACACCACTGGCTCATGTTCAAAAACTTGGTCTCCAAGAATCACCTCCTCACACCAATCGTACAAAAACGTTCCCTCAGCGTGCGGAGTTTCTGCGCTGGACGATCGAAAGCACGGAAGATGCACGGCTGAGTCAAAGAGCCCAAGGCCACCCGCTGGCCACAAAACTACGGAAGTGGAACGTGACCTCTTAGATAAATGATTCGACGATTTCTTCCAGAAACAAGGCGATGAAGGTCATGTTCTATGATGGCTGGAGTTACTTAGATACTGTACCTAAACGGGTATGTCAAGGACTTCCCGTGCTGGCGTCGAGCTTGGGCGGCCCAACCCATAGGAGTTGAGTGGATGCGTGGGCTTTTCTTCCAGTCACCGAAACCGTCTCCTCCGGCGAACCAAACGGGTGTCTTTGGGCCGTTGGAGGATCACGGCGCAACCATGAACTCCGGTAAACCAGTGGCAATCGGCAGCAAGTCAAAGGCAACATGATGCAACATATGTAGCCCAGCCCGCAACGGGGCGTGAATTTTTCGGGGTTTTTGGTCAGGAGAAAGCACAAATTGGACACCAGCACCAGGCCCCAGCCGTGACAAACAACAGGTTAACAGATGTTTTGTGGTCGCGCGGATGAGCAAGTGAACATGTGAAATCACAAGGGTGGCAAACGAAATGGATAGATTCCGCTTGATTTTAGCGCAGTTTCCCAAAGTGTGTTCCATGTTCAGTTGCCAAAAGGTTTGACATTGGGCTGGCTGCGCAGGCCACCATCCGTCCTTGTGCCACCCGAAGCCATAGCCATAAAACCTGACCAAGCTCATCACCACTGGACGAAGCGCTCGATTCAATGGCCACATTCCAAAACATACACGACTCATGTGAATCCATCATTTCGTGCAAGACTTAAATCCAGGCATGTAAGAACCAAGGCCCAGGCACAAAAGATCCACCACAAATCCAATTTGTAATTGACAAGGCCCGCCCTGCCCAGCAAACCGCGGTCCTTTTCGCAAACAAATCTGCGCCGTAATGTGATGACGTTGTTTCCAACAGCGCTCATATGGGAGACTGAACCAGCAAAGGGTGCTAGATGTTTTTTCCCCAATTTGCTGCAAACATGATTATCAAGAACAACAACAACAACAACACTGACAACACTGATCGGAAAACCACTTCCAAACCGACACAATGAGCTACAAGGATTTGGCAGAAATAGCGGCAACTGACACCATCTGTTGAAACTTGACTTCCACATGCAAAGCACGGATGTTTGACATATCAAATGTGCGTCCGCGCATGACTGTGCATGTGTTCCCCCCTTTCTCTTGTGATCCTGCGCGCACCGGAACATATGTTGGCACAGCGATGTGCCACTTCCAGGGTCGGATTGACCATGCTTCGATGAGTGGAAGGATGGCGTGTGTCAGGTCTAAGCCGCGTTGGTGACTTGTCACTGTCACCCACTTTGTTTCGCATGCCACACGTTGGCAACTTGTCACTTCACTCACTGTGTTTCGCGGCCGCCAAGTGAGACCAAGTGAGACAAACAACCACGAGAAGCCAGGAACACGACATGTGTTGGTTGTTACCCATCGCGCCAAAAACGCGAAAATTGGAGAGCAGGTGTCTTTGCCTTTGTCCATTTGGATATATACCTTGCCATCATTGAATGGGACAGTCCACCACCCACCAAAATAATACAGAATTGTTTTGAGGTGGGTATACCCATTTAGTTTTTTATTCTGAGAGTCCGGACTGTCTGAAATCATGTTCATTGATCTTCAAAAATTGTGGTGGGTTCCACCCCTGAGGATTGACCGGGTGATTCATGGCAAGAATCGCGCGCAAGTCCCCCCACTGTAAACCACTAGCTAAAAGTAGTTTGCCGCGTTTTTTTGTCGTCGTGTTGTTTGACATTGTTGTGCTGAAAGTACTATTTTGGGGGTGGGGGGCCTCCTGATGCCCTTGGATGGTGGCGGTGGGGGCCTTATGGTCGGCACACGGGCCACAACATTAGTATGGTGGCAGCCATTACTTGAGCAACTACCTTGATAAAAAGACATTGCAAACACAAGAGCCACTGCCAATATATGTCTGGGGTTCACACACGGCAGGAATGGAAATAGACACACGCACAGGTATGTATACATATACATGAATTCCCACGCTTTCAATAACTTTGCTTGAAGAAATTTCCTAGGCGGTTGGCCGCTTGGTTTGCCAAAAAAACCCACATCTGGCACAAGCAAAACAGCACGCTGTCCCACATCTGAGGTCTCCACCTTCCTAAATCTGAGACTCTAAGTTATCTTGGAACTCCTACTTATTTTGACTCTAAGCGGTAAACTTTATTTGGACCACAACCTCCACCCCCTTTCAAAAGTAATATCGGTGTGCAAACTATGTCACAAACATATTTTAAGTGAGTAGTGTACCACCAATGGAAAAATTATTGATGACATGGCCAATTTTTGGGTGGTGCCCTGCCACAAAATATCGAAAAAGCAAAAAACAGCAACAAACAAGCCAGGGCATCCCGGCCGCATTCAATTTTGACTGTTTGAGATGAAGTGCAAAAAACTGTTGCTGGGAGCCTTGACTGCATATTTGCCTACGTCTTTGGACTTTCTTTTTTTGCTTAGAGCGCTTGCGCGACGGTTTTTCTCACAGACATGCAGGAAACCAAGTGGCCCAATCCATCCGTGCGTTGGAGGCCTCGCATGCACACGCGGCTCTCAGTTTGCCAAACTATATAGTTGCTCCCCTTGACAGGTTTTCCGGCCCGTCCAAGTTCCTTGCCCCCCAAATTCTCCTACGCGTACACAACCACCTCCTGCTCATCTTCCAGGAATGCCAGGACTCAACTTGCTTGCACTTCTTCTCGCAGTCGCAAGGCTTTGCAAGTCTTGACAGAAGCCTTTGAGCTATTTCCACGTCTTGGGTACATATTGCAGCCCGCTGGAGGAAGAGCGGGTGACACTACGGTGGCTTGGTCTTCTTTTACAGGCAGCCAGACTCGGTACCACAACGAAGCAATGAGGCGCTGCAGGCTCAGCATCCGGGACATCTCAAAGCGGCGGGCTTTGTGGAATGACCGCCTGGAGAGCAGAAGCCTCCTGCAAACCAATTCGGAAAACACGGAAAGCGGAGCAGCTGCATTATTGCTGGGTAGTCGGACCTCTTTTTTCATGGCTTTAGTCGATCGGCCGAGAAAACAAGTATATAACCTAAGCCTTACACTTGTCGGACCTAAGTCTGTCGGGTCTTTACGATGTTATACGCACATCACGCAAAAAGACTACCTGCCCAAGTCAAACGGCAGAGAAAAACAGCCAAGTGGACGAACATCTAACATCGCCGCAAAAAAGTAAAATAACAGCAGCAAAGCCTTCAACATAGATCCCACAGCCCCAATCACGTCCAACATACCTCCACAAGAAGCCTAGAGCCCCAACATTGGGAGAAGGATATGCCCTAAGAATGCACCAAGATCGCCGAAGATTGGTGCAAACATGCCCCAAATTTGACTGCCCATTGGAGCAAGCTTTCGTAAGCAACAAAAACGACAAAACAAACTGTCAAAGCCACCTTTCTTACACTTGTCGGACCTCATTTTCATGGATTTATGGTGTTTTACGCGCAGTACGCAAAAAAACACCTGCCAAGTCAAACGGGGCAGAGAAAAAGCAGCCAAGTGGACCAACATGGCCGCAAAACAAGTAACATAACAGCAGCAAAGCCTCTTCTGATCTAGACCCCACGGCCCCAATCACTTCCAACATACTTCCACGAGATGAAATGTGCCAATATGGAAAAGGGTATGTCCCAAGAATGCACCAAGATCGCCGAAGATTGGCACAAACATGCCCCAAATTTGACCACCCACTGGAGCAAGCCTGCATAAGCAACAAAAACGACCAAAAATTGTCAAAACCAACTTTCTTACACTTGTCGGACCTCATTTTGCATGGTACATAATTTTCTATAGTGCTTTACACACGCTACGCAAAAGACCACCTGCCCAAGTCAAACCGCAGAGAAAAAGCAGCCAAGTGGACCAACATGGCCGCAAAACAAGTAGCATAACAGCAGCAAAGCCTTCAACATAGCCCTGATCTAGACCCCACAGCCCCACTCACTTCCAACATACCCCCACGAGAAGCCTCAAGAGAGCCCCAACATTGGGCGAAACAATAACATAACAGCAAAGGCTTCGACATAGCCCTGATCTAGACCCACTTCCAACATACCTCCACGAGAAGCCTCAAGAGAGCCCCAACATTGGGTGGAGTGCTAAAATTTGGAAAAGGATATGTCCTAAGAATGCACCAAAATCCCCGAAGATTTTCACAAACATGCCCCAAATTTGACCGCCCATTGGAGCAAGCTTTCGTAAGCAACAAAAACGACCAAAAAACTCTCAAAACAAACTTTCTTACACTTGTCGGACCGCATTTTTTCATGATTTTTTTGGTGTTTTACACGCACTACGCAAAAGACCACCTGCCCAAGTCAAGCCGCAGAGAAAGAGCATCCAAGTGGACCAACATGGCCGCAAAACAAGTAGCATAACAGCAGCAAAGCCTTCAACATAGCCCTGATCTAGACCCCACAGCCCTACTCACTTCCAACATACCTCCACGAGAAGCCTCAAGAGGCCAACATGGAAAAGAATATGTCCCAAGAATGCATCAAAATCGCCGAAGATTTGCACAAACGTGCCCCGAACTTCAGCACCCACTGGAGCTAGCTTTCATAAGCAAAGCAACAAAAACGACAAAGAATACTGTCAAAACCACCTTTCTGACACTTGTCGGACCTCATTGTTCATGTTTTTTGTGTTTCACACGCACTACGCAAAGTCAAACGGCAGAGAAAAAAGCAGCCCAGTGGACCAGCATGGCCGAGAACAAGTGACATAACAGCAGCAAAGCCTTCAACATAGCCCTGATCTAGACCCCACGGCCCCAATCACTTCCAACATACCTCCACGAGAAGGCTCAAGAGAGCCCCAACGTTGGGCGAAACGCGCCAAGATGGAGAAGGATAGGCCCCAGGAATGCACCAAGATCGCCGAAGATTGGCACAAACATGCCCTAAATGTGACCGCCAACTGGAGCAAGCTTTCATAAGCAATTTGCACTTGTCCAAACCTTTGCGATGCTGGTTATGTCCCCTGGGGAAGACTGCAGTGACTGCAGTATTGACATCATGGGTGTGCTCGTCAGGAGCTAGCTTTCATACGCAAACAAAGGATAAAAAGAAGCTCTCAAAACGCCTTCCTTACACTTGTGGGACCTCATTTTTCAATGTGTTTTATGCACATGGCATTGCACTTCAAATCCTTCGACTGCGGGATAACAAGATAAACCTCAAAAATTGCCTCCCGTGCAGGTAAAATGCAACTTTTTGAAGGCCAATAAGCTCAACACAAATCCAACCAAAGCCACTTTTTACTGTAAATTACAGTGTTTTATGCACCTCCGCGACACCTCCTTCGCCCCGTGCATCTTCTCATGTGAAGCCACCTATGCCTTCCACGCCGCCGACTGGCCGATAGCAAACGATGGTTGACTCGAAACATTATAGCTGAAATGGGCCGCTGGCTAAGGGACCCCAGTCGACCGACCTTATCTATATATGGTTTGCGCAGGGCCGGGCGCACATACACGAGCCAAGCGTGTCAGAGTTAGTTTCTGCTTGCGCCTGAGTTTAAAGTCCCGCACCTTCAACCACCAAGCTCCCCAGAACGTTATACGGAGCAAAGCCAGCCATGTACCAGGACGGGGGGTCTGGGGTATGAATGGGGTGGCCAAACCTCAGAAGTGTGTTGTTGATCTTTTAATTAGAGTTTCACCATGGATCCACCCACGATCTGGTAGTAGACGCTCATCTCGTCTCGTCTGCGTCAGCAGTCATGCTGAAGATCTGCAACGCGTGAACACACAGCAACCGGCAGACCACGTTGTGATCAGCATCTTGC